AACAAAAAGGTATCAAACACTGCTTCGTCCGTACTTTTGTAGTACGAACTGTGCAGAAGCTGCTAGAAGCACCGGACATAATTGTCGAGGCCTTCAAAATCGCCTTGTCTGCAAAGCAAGACTTGACGATTGCTTTGGCGCTTTTGAACAGCTGTGTCATAAATAGAGATCAGCACGTCTTTGGCCTGACTCCAAGCTGCCTTAGCAATGCCTCTACTAGAAAGGTGCTTGGTCAACTGATCACGCTGCGACTGATTTAAAGCTTGTTGGATCAGTCGGCGCCAGTGGGACTCAATATCCATGTTGTGGACCGTGATTGACGTCTCGAAATCTTTGGTCCACGCTTCTGCTGAAGAGAAGGTCATGGTGGCCCGTTTACTGCCATGAGGGAGACCATGCAGCTGCAAGTACGGCAAAGACTTGGGTACTGGCTGTGGCACCTCTTTGACACGCGCGTGCTGAGAACCGTACTTCTCCGTGGTCCAGAACAAAGGTTCATTTGGATACACACAGTTGAAGGTACGTCTCCCTTTATCGAGCTCAGCATTGTTTGCTTTACTGGCCGCGAGAAGGGCACTGCGGTTTGTGTGGTCATCACTGACAAGAGAACGACCAATTTGCTGGGCAAGGATCGCCTGCTTTCCTAAGAGGACCTTCATAGCTGATTTGGCTACCTACAAGGGGTCAGCGTGAATGGATTCTAAAGAACCTGGCTGTGCCAGTGGCATTTCGACATCATCCTCTGCTACTAGCTGGGAGCCAGCAATGGAACGTGACGACACATCCTGAAGAGAATGCTCTAGGACGTGGGTGCCAGGCGCAGGGAACTGTGAGTTCTCTGCAACATTAGCTACAGACCGCACCTCTAGCTGAAGAGAATACTCTTACGCATGGATACTAGGCGCGGGGAAATGTAAGTTCTCTGCAGTAATAGCCACAGACCGCACATCTAGTTGACCAGTGGTGGTGCTTGCCACGCTCAAAGCATCACCTTCTTTGTCGAGGTTCAGCCTTTGCATGGGGCAGCAATTGTTGGATGTTTTGCTGCTGTTGCTCTTGCTGCAACGCAGTGGGAGGAGGCAGGAGCGGCACGAATTGCGGTTGCTGCTGTTGTTGACCAAGTTGTTGCAGGCCAAAAAGCTGCTCGAGCTGTTGCTGCGAAAGTTGTTGAATGAGCTGCTGCTGCTGAGCAAGCTGCAGTTGCGACACTTGTTCAGCTATCTGTTGTTGCTGCTGAAGTTGGTCTTGCTGTTGTTGTTGTTGGGCTTCGACTACAACGGAGGTAGCAAGTGAGGGCGACGAGATAGGTCTGTTGGTAGGAGTAGTGGTATTGGTGGCGACAAGTTGGTTGATGTTCATCATAAAAGTAATGGTAGTAGTGATAGTAGTAGTTTTGGTTGTGGTTGTTGGTGTTGTAGATGTGGTGAGAATTCACGAAAAAAAATGTTTTGTCGAGGATCAGAAAATGGGACGAGATAATTCATGAGACTCTTAACGGTCAAGTTTTCATTACGAGAGAAAGAGAGAGTTCCAAATATTCTTATTACTAGTTATTCCTATAAAGAAATTATCTTTGTGGAACTTATTTGATGTCCCGATCCTCTGGATACAACATCTACAAATTTGCAAAAGTCGATCTCCTAGGCCAAACATTCATTTCCGAAATGTCTCGCCACATCAACACCAGCACCTATGTCCAAGTCGTTTGCCCAAGTACTCAGTTCCATACTGAAGCAATCGTTCGTCCTGGGCGCATTTTATATTTCTTTATCCACAAACTATGCAATCCCACCGACGGTAATTTCTACCAGTTCGTTTTTGCTTTTGTTGAGTACCTATGACCAAATACGCAAGTCTTTGAGTCGTTTAGGATGCTAGGTATAGACGTCTACCATTTAGAAATCGAACCGTATACGTGGCAGTGTGTCATTCCTTTGGGGAGGCTCCATTCCGGCGTTGTTGTTACCCCTATTCAAATAGACAATAGCTGTGCTCTTACATATTTACCACATAAAATAAAAGTGATCTACTCTTAAAAGCAAAATACATCAGGTCAGGTCTTTTTCTTTTTTGGCTTTACGCTGCTGTGGTTGTAATAAAGAATAAAATAAAAAACAAGTTTTGAATTATAGAAATCGCTTCAGATTTAAAAAGCATTTTGAAGGAATCTAATGCAATGGCGAATCAAGAAACTTGTAGATGGTCAAATAAATAAAAATGTTGAAGAATTTGATTTAGTAATTAGCAAAAAAAAATATAAATAAATAAAAAAGGAGAAAAAAGCAAAGTGGTAGAGACAAGCATAGTGGCGGTAAAAGTCTCAGAGTGGGAAGAAGCACAGCAGTCCAGGTGGTGTAAAAAAGGGGTCATCCCAGATAGTTTGGGGGGAGAAGGATTTTAGTGGGGGAGCCAATTTTATCTATTTGCTGCATCACGGCTCTGAAAGTGCACTAAAAGCGCTCTGAAAGTAAATTCTCACTGAAAGCACACTGAAAGCACATTGAAAGAAAAATTTCAGAGTACACTGAAAGCACTCTGAAATCGGGTTTTAACTCCAGTGGAGTCGGAAGTGAATGAGACCGTCAAATTTCACACACTTCGTGTTAAACCACAAAAGGCTTCCTTAGCGCAGTCGGCAGCGCGTCAGTCTCATAATCTGAAGGTCGCCAGTTCGATCCTGGCAGGGAGCAAGCAGAAGGCAAACTCAAGTTTGAGTAAATATTTTAATGTTTCTCTGAATTGTAGTAATTTGTTTTACTTATTTACATTGGCTTCTCGTTGTGGTAGTCATCGGCCAGTTATATTTATTGCTGATAGTATTTCTTTAATGCGCCGTCTTATACTTTTGTGATATGATGCACAGCTACCTCAGGAAAAAATCCTCGCGAACTTTTGAACTCAGTGATTCTATAGCAGACATATTGACAACTACATCTTTAATATAATGATCCTTCCCAACAAGAAGATTGACTACTTGAATACAAGTACCTAGGGATCCGCATGGTTCGGTTCGGTTCGGTTCTTAAAGGGAACCGAGCCGAACCGTCTAAAGCAAGAACTGAACTGACTAGAACCGACGAGAACCGTAGAACCGAAGAATCGAACCGAAGAACCGAACCCATCATGTATATAAAAAAGGCAAGATTCGGTATCTTTAAATGAAAGCTGATGTGTGTGTTCAAATGTCGCGGTATACTTGAATACTGCAGTAAAAAAGAATAGTTTATTATTATACATTGAACAGCGATCTCAAAATGAATAAGAGAAACAGAGTGTAAACATTCTCATACGATGTGGGTCATTGCATGGTTAAAAGATTGAAGCACAGTTTTTACAAAAAAAAGTGGAGCTTATAGTACTTACTTAGAGCGACTTAGTATTACTAGTACAATATGTTATCGTAACATTGGAGGAATTGAACCACAACCGGCAGTACATACAGCTGCTGTGTCTCTACGTGTGTATAGTGTATAGTGTCTCATAAAAGGCAAAGGGTGAATGGGTAAGATAATTCTGTTATGAGCCCCAGAATGCGCAATCTCAAACAGAATGCACAAACTTGATAAAACTGATCGAGAAGCCATGATAAATCTAGTAAAGTAGTACGTCATGGAGAAAAATGCATTGTGGGTAGCAAAGTAGAGGAAGTAATGATGTGCGTCATGGGCGGAGAAAGCAAGCTGCCGTCAGAAGAAGTGTTTTTTTATTTTTTTCTCTTCTCTTCTTTACTATTTTTTACTCCCTTCTGCTTTTGCAGGTTTTGTTAAGTTTTTCAATAAAGTATGGCTTGCAAATACACTACTTCGTGGTCTTTTCGGAATAACATTGTTCGTAACTTCCATTATAGCCTACTTTATACTAATTACCAAAATCGCTGATTGCAATCTTCTGCCTCTCGGTTCTTCGGTTCTACTTATACAGAACCGGTTCGGTTCCGGTTCGGTTCTTGACAGGAACCGAACCGTATTTTCTCGGTTTCGGTTCGGTTCGGTTCCGGTTCTACGGTTCTGATACGGATCCCTACAAGTACCTATAGATATCATATATATACACGGGTCACAATGGGTCAACGGGTTGGGTCAAGGGTTAGACAGGTTGACCCGCAGGTCAGAAAAGCATCAACCCAACCCGTTGACCCATCCTCAACCTGCGGGTCAGATTGCGACCCCTAGCAACAGTAGTTAACGTCAATGCTTAGCAACAGAGCAGCTGTGCATCACGTCACAGAAGTACAAGATGGCGTGATAAAGAAGTACTATTGACTATAAATATGGTTGCTCTCATTTCGCTCCGAACAGAGAACCCAAAATAGTTTTGCAAGAATTCAAAGTCCTCTCTACTCGGATCGAACATAAAGGCGCACTGCGCCGAGAAACTTCCTTTTCTGTACATACCCCGAGGTGTTGCATGAATAACAACGCGATTGCCATAAGAAACTTTGTACCCGACTGCTGTATATATATATATATATATATATATATATATACGCTGTGAATATAGTAGAAGCTAATAAATAAATTTCTCTATAATTCACTTCATCCATTGCCTCTCTATTTTTTCTAATACCTATTATGCCAAACACCAGCAACAACCACAACAACTTTCAAATCTTGATGTGGACACCCGCCAGTTCATCATCAGATCCTCAGCAACAGCAGCAGACACAGCAACGGCAAGATTCAGAAGCACCGATGCAGACACCGGAATCCCAAGCCCCAGAAGCATTGCCTGCATCAGTGGCCGCTGATAGTGATTTGACATCGCCTCTACCCAGTTCGCAGACGCCCATTCCTACCTCTGCACGACGCCATACATGGGACGAGGCCCACATTGATGCACTCATTACGGCTGTAGGGACTCGATACGATAGACTGAAGACAGTTATCGAAACGCAAGCCAAAGGTCGCATCTGGAATGAAATACTTTCTGAGTATGTTGCAGCTGATCCGTTAGGTCGAAGTAAAGAAGCATTACAGAAGAAATGGCAAGATCTAGTCGATGAATATCGCGATGTTAGGGCTACGATTTGCAACAGTGGTGAGAACGGCCCTTCAGGTCAAGAGCGATGGTGCTACTATGACGCTGTAGACAGAATTGTGGGAACTGACCCTGCAATTGTACCTCCTGCCACGATGGATTCCCTCGATGGCCTCGTTGTCAATAGCACCCGACGAGAAAGGGATAACGATAACGATGTCAGCGAGCGGCACCACACAGCGACGACGAACAGCGGCATTTCAAGAGCTTGTCCTTGAGAATGCCGATCGGCAAACCGATCGCCTCATTGCCAGCATCAGCGAGGCATTCCAGTGGTTTGAGGAAGCAGAAGACCGGCGTTCGCGAGAGGTGCAGGAAGCAGAAGACCGCCGGCATGATATGTACTTGCAGACACTAAGAGATTTGTTTGGTAGCCCTACAAACACAAATAGAAGTGGAGAGCCCAGTAATAATAACGAAGAAGAGCAATAAATTTTATTATATTATAATATGACATTTATTCAGAATTGTTAAAAGTGTATCTAGAATACCCTGTGTGATGATTAATATCTTCTAATATAGCACTTTACTGCACTTTACAGAATGTGAAGAAGAAAACTAGTCATGCCATTACAGACAATAACTGCTACGAAAAGATGCCCAATTATTTTATACGCGAACTTTTAGTACCAAGCAGCACTTCACGTCAATATCTAAAAGATATAGAGCGATTACTGGAGCAATGTATAATGTATTGCGTTTATTGATTTGAGGACAATGATTCTTTAAGCATATCGCGTTTCTGACGCCCTTGTGCAAACAACCTTGTACTGTCTTCTCTAGCACTAGACTGTCTATCAGTATCTATTATTGATATACGTCCGGTTTGTTCATCCTCTTCTGTGTTCAATGGAAACAGTTCGTCAGAGTGCGGATCGAGCTGCTCGATACAGATATTATGGAGTATGCAACAGGCATAAATCACCAGCGTCAGGTTTGTATGATCCATGAGGTACATGTAATGTCGCATGAACCTCCACTGGGAAACAAGACGACCGAATGCTCGCTCAATAGCCATTCGCATTGAAGAATGGACTTTGTTGAATCGCTTTTCCGCTGGATCAGTTGATGAGCTAGGATACGGCGTCATGATTGTTGGCCGCAGAGGAAAAGCAGAATCTATGAATAGGTTCAAATGCAGAATATAAGCAAAGCTGTAGAACATCAAAAGTACAGGACTACTAACCGGCAAGAATGTATGTTCCATTAGGACACCATTGTTCAGGATCACTCAGCAGTCTGGTATTGAGCGCACTGTTATTGAAAGTGCGGGCGTCGTGAGTTCGCCCTAGTGAACATATATTTGTGATGCAGTTGCAGTCAGCAATGTGTACGTTAAAGACATTAATAAATCTCTTGTAGATTACTGTACCTGATTGACCCACGTCAATAAAAGTAAAGCGCCCATCTGCAGCACACACAGCAAGCAAGTTTATCGAGTGATGCAGTTTGCGGTCAAAGTACCGTTGACCTTGCTTCGTTGGTTTGTGGATCACCACGAGCTTGCCATCCATAGCTCCAATCGCCCCTTGCAGCCTTGCTGAGGCATCTCGAGAGGTAGGTAAACCGGAGGGCAAAGAAAAGGCGTTGGAAGCTTCACGGGCTTCTTCTGGAGAGCGTGGCCACTTGATCTTGGAGCCATGGATGTCGCAAATAGCTTTTATGAATCGCACAGTAAAGTTGTGGTACGATCCTTGAGAAAAGCCAAATTGCATCTCAAACATTCTGTATCCAATGTGAGTATTTACAAAACGCCATAGTACGCAGCAGACTTGAATATAAACTGGTGTCATTCTTGATGACTCTGACACAAATTCCTGATGCACAGACAAAGTATTGACAAGCCATTCCAATGTGGATTTGCGCATGCGGTAATGATATTTATAGCTGCCAGGACCGTCGTCATCGCGAAGATTCGAGTGGCTCAATGTCCAATATTCCGTGCTGTGAATTCTTGGGATCTTGGCTGCTCGAAAATGATGCGGCGAACCAGCGTAAGCTGCGACGATGTTCGCATTGACCGAAGGAAGCATTCCTATGGCGGGTGCTACAAGTTGCGTCAAGAGCTTGATGAATGCTGCTCGACGACGTCTTTTTTCTTCAAGATGATTGTGCATTGGGTGGCGAATAATGGCTAATGGTGGAATATTGTTCATTTTTATGATAAAAGCAGATAAAATAGATGAAAAATAGAGGGTGTATTTTTCTTTCGATACTTTTATTATTCATGAAAGTGACAGTTTCCTTTTATATCGATCCGAGCGAGCCACCACGGAGGCCTTTCCATCAGAGAAGCCACTACCAAAATTGGAAGCCTCCGAGAAGCCCTCTTTTGGAAGGAAAACAGAAAATTTATTTTCCATTACTACATTGGGGTATGGTGTTCTCTGTTCGGAGCGAAATGAGAGCAACCTATGACTGTTGTAGCCAGATTTGGCTAGTCTTTCCTTTTTCCTTTTGTGATACCTGTCCATCATTTGAACATGTAGTCGCTTCTCGTTAACACATGATATTCAAGACACGTAGTTGTCCATTGCTTGAACAGGTATTAGTCTCTCATCACAACATGTAGCCATTATAGCATATCTAGTAACAATAGAAAACATATAAATATCCCCTTCATCATCAAGCAACAATAAACATTATCTTTCAAGTTATCTTTTATTCTACTCTTACTCTTTTGTGATCTCTCTTTCTATTGGCTACAGTACTTATCCGCCAAAAGGACTCGACACGACAACGAGAAGCGAATGTAGATAAGTAAAAAAAATCACTACCAGTCAGAGAAAACATTAAAATGTTTACTCGAACTTGTATTCGCCATCTGATTGCTCCCTGCCAGGATCGAACTGGCGACCTTCAGATTATGAGACTGACGCGCTGCCGACTGCGCTAAGGAAGCATGTTATGCCTGACACAAAGTGTGCGGAACTTGACGGCCTCATGCATTTCCGACGAACGAATTCTGGCTTCGGCCAAACATGGGCGATTTCGGTGGCGGATCTTTCTGCCGGCGATGGCCATCCGATCCACAGATTCCCCCCAACTCCGCAAGCCTTGAATTATTTGCCCATAAACCTCAAATTTTATTAGCTAGATATTTTGCCTAGTTAAAAATACCACTTGGACTACTATTTCCTAATTTAAGTTGATTATTTTGAAGTTTTTATTGGCACTTATTTTTATTTGTTGTCCCTAGATCTTGTATCTTTACTATAGAAAATTATCTTACCACTACCTTTATCACTCGCCCAGCAAATGATGACGTGCCTGCAACATTATTTATTTCGAGATCAGAATATCGCAACTGGATCGAAGCTCAAGAGACATAATACAACTGCAAGTTTTATAATAAAACGAAAACTGAATGTGGACGCAAAGAGAAGAACGAAGAGTATCTTCAAAATGGATACACACCTCCTCCACCTAGTCAAAAGCACAGCAGAGGAAGAGAAGCATTCTACTTCAATGAAGTAAACCTTTCAAAAAATTTTATTGTAAACATAAAAAACATTTGTGTGATACTTATTAGATGACTTCTACTTCTGCTTTGTGTATAATCCATCTGCGATAGTACTACACGTGCCAACGGGCTGGTCCTCCTCGTGGAACGAACTCATTTTGTTGCAATTACTAAGTAGGATTTACTGCCTTTATCAACCAAGACAGTGAAAACAAGGACATAATCACAGTACAATACCGGTGTAAGCATACTGGTCATGAACCTGGCAGCAACATAGATACAACATCCGATACACTCCCTCGCTTTGTGATGCAATTCATTCAAGAGCAAGTGGAGAAAAGTCTTACCTGAAGAAATATCAAACATATGCTTCGTCTCGACAAAGATGTTCTTGATAAAATCTTGGTTGACGAAACATATAATAACATACCTCAATCCATTCGAGTCAATTATCTCCATGTCTATTATGCAAAAGTGCATCTTCGACGTCAATCCCAACTTGATCCTTTGATGGCAATCAGTCTTGGTAAATGGGGTGACAAAATAGAATAAGAGAAAGGACATTTTACTTCAAAAAATCTTGATAGATATGAAGAGGGAATGTTCTTTTTCACGTTCATGTCACAATGGCAATTAAAGGTACAACAATCGATCCAAATGGATATACATTATACACGTACCTAATCATATATATATTCCTTGTTATATAGCAATTGAAAGAGGACAGAGACCTTGTTTGTCTTGATTCAACCCATAAGACTTGTGTGGATGGTGCCAATCATGACTGTTATCTTTATACACTTATAGCAAGATGCAGGACTACCGGAAAGGGAAGCTATTGGCGTGGATGATCACAAATTTACAAGCTTAATATCCTATTTTGTATTGGCTTCAATGGCTGAAGGATGAGCATGAATATATACCATCCTGTGTTATGATCGACGATCCTGATACAGAAATTATTACTATTAATAAGGCGTATAACTATGTAAATGATGATCTGCCCATTAACACATTTACTGACAAAGTGTAGATACTTATCTGCCACTGGCATGTCCTTAGAGCATGGAAGAAGAACATTCTTTCCAAACTCACCGCAAAACCGTCCACTCCATTGAAGACTCTGAAGGAGAAGAAAGACATGCGTGAACATGCACTTTCCCTAATGATGAATATGATGAAAGCTGAGGTACCTACGGATTTCGATCTTGAACATGAACGATTCGAAACTTGGTCCATTGATAGTGAGGATGAATGGGAAAGTGCTCGTTTGTATTTGTACTTTGAGAGGGAGTTTCTTCCTAAACGTGAGAAATGGAGCCAAGCATGGCGCAGTGTAAGTTTTTGCTTCATCTTATATTTTCATGTCATTTTTTGACGAATTCTGTTACTTACCACGAATATAAAAGCACCATCATCACATAAACACAAACAACTACATAGAGAGCTGGCATCGTCACCTCAAAGAAGTTTACCTACCAAGCTTGCGAAGACAACGTGTTGACGTGCTTGTCTATATCCTTTGGAGCCATGTTCTTCCAGATATAATGCAAGATCATATTTGTATGGTAGCCAACTTTAGGCTTCGTACAATAAACAAGGCAGAAAGAATGAGACTTGCAAGAGTCAATGAATTGAACGGTAAGTATCTCTTTCGCCTTTTAATATAATATTATTTCATATATACTATTATACAAACCTTTTTGTGCACATTATAGATGAAGAAGCCGCTGCCAAAGTTGTTGGTCAAGAAGGGAACGTTTACAAAGTACTTTCTTTCACTAACCCGGAAGAAAGTACTACATATGATGTTTCGGTCAATATCGACGAACATTATCTTGTGTCGTGCACTTGTGTCTATTACCAGACAAACGGTTCACCATGCAAGCATATGTATGGTATGTAAATACATGAAGGACTTGAGCGATCATTAACCTTTGTTTATAAAAAGATCAATCGTGTCCTTGGAATCAGTTTGATCTGTCTACTATCACCACCATCATCATCATCATCATCATCGTCACAGCAAGAGCAACAGCCAATACAACAACCACAACATAGCATCATGGAAACTGATGAAGCTGCATCTACAGCATCCGAAACTCTTTCTGAAGAAGCTATGGATAGGTAAAATATAAGAAAAATTATCAGATTAATAATAGTACTTGAAATAATGCTTATGTTTTTGTAGATTTATGGATTTCTTTGAACGACTGAAGATTGAAGTCGAAAAAACAAAAACAAAAAAACGCGTACCTGTTCCTGTTCTTGGCCAACTTGCAACAATGTTCAACGATCAAACAAACGAGTTGAAAAGCTGGAACAGCTCAAGAACCGGTCCTTCAGAACATCAGCCTCGCCATTAAAAGTATTTTATAATTATCAACGTTAATATTAAGAAGTTAGATGTGTGGCATAGTCGTGAAGGTTTTTGTTTTGGTGAGATATGTGAGAGACAGAAAGAAGAAAAAACAATCGGCAAAAGAAATTACGTCACAAGATTTTGTTAGATTTAAATAGGGTTGATTGGTTGCTGAGCAAGAATGAGCGGCAGCCAATGGAAACTGAGGTTTATGGGCGAACAATTCAAGTTTTCGCCCCAACTCCCCACAATTCTTCTCGCACCCCCCATCTGGGGATTATCATACTTCTTTTTCCCTTTCTGTCAGTTCCCTTTATTTTTCTTATTTCCCTTAGCTCTTTTTCTGTAAATAATTCTGTCATTTCCTCTCGCGTCATTTTACGTTCCTTCAACTCTAAATCGTGCCGGCCATAGGCGCCGAATATTATTTCTTCTTTATGCTTCTTTTAATGGGACCCATCCCTTATATTTCTATCCGTCCTTATTTTTCGTATTATACTCTCTTACATACTCATGCTACCTGCCCTGTGCAGTTTATATTATTCTCTATTGTCCTTTTTCCCTCGTTACCCTCACCTTGTTACCATGACCCTGTAATTTCATGGCCCCTCTTATTTTCCGTCGTACTCCCTCTCTTATGTTTCCATCCGTTGTATAGACATTGCTATATCCATTTCCCTATTTTTCCGTCTTCTACTCCGTCCAAACTACCCGATAGAGATCGTTGTCCTCTGTGCCTGGCGTTGTTCTCGGCCGAGTGCGCCCAGTTGACAAGGTGTATAAAAGGGGATTAACCCTATCATAAAATAAAGATTAAGCATTTTCAGACATACATTCGTGGATTGACAATTGACACCAGAAGTGGAACTTGCTGTTATTGTAATCGTGTTTCTGTGTATTTGTATTTCGCGTTCATCGTATCCCTGACTCCTTTTATTTTCTGAATTCTGTTTATTTGTATTCTACCACATATCAACCTTATTCTTCTGAACCCTTTTTACCTTTTCCCCGTTTTTTTTATACTACCTTTTATCCTTTTCCAAACACCACATGTGTAATGCTTGACACATTGTGTGTGAGGTTTTCCAGCCTGATTCCCTTGGCAGACAGAAATCGAAGGCACATGACTTTTCGAGGATGGATGGCTCCTCGAGCAGGGCAAGAAATGGCTATATGTGTATCCGACTTACTGTTTTTCTATATTTTCTCACATACTTCTTTCCCCACGCTTAGTTCCCCTTATTACCTAAAGATATCTCCCTATCCATTAATCCCTACACAAAACTCCCTTTATTATTATTTTTATTATTATTATGTCATATTAGAGCTATTATTGATATTTCAGCTAATGAGCAATATAAGAACTAATCTAGTTTATAAGGTTCCCAACGTAGTACAAACCGCAAACTCAGGTCACACATAGCGATGCCTCCTAGCTATTGTCTGCAAAAACCAGGTTCATTTTACTGTATTTAGTTCATGAGAAATCGCAGTTTTAAAAAGGGATATACAGTATGTTTATTAAAATTAGAAAAAATTTATAATTAATTTCTTTTATGGGTATACTGATTTAAAATTGCAATTAATCTACTAATATTATCCTTAGAAACATGCAATTTACAATTCTGAAATTCTTAGAGGATTGCGAGTCGAATAGTAAGCTTTGTTCTTTTTTATAAAAGCTTTGTGTAACGCTATCATCATCTAAAGTTGACTAATACTTTAAAGTCATATATTTCTTTATAAAATAATGCTAAAGTTATAAAACAGATACCAGTATGTAGCTGGTAATTAGGGCAATCTGGCGATACAAAATTTTTTATCTTATAGCAGACATTTTAGGCAGAGTGGATATAAATATTAGTCTGACTAGGTTTGAATAAAAGATAAATAGTATATAAATAAAAGAGGAAGTTGATGTAAATAAAAGACACACTAGACATAATTAAAAATCTAACTAGACATAAATGAAAGTTAGTAGAGACTTCAATAAAGTTTATAAATAGTGATGTTCTAGTCTAATGACTAGGAATATTTATGAGAATAAAGTTTTAATTTGAAGTCTCTACTGACTTTCATTTATGTTAAGTTAGATTTTTATTCATGTCTAGTTTGTCTTTTATATACATCAACTTCATCTTTTATTTACGTCCACTTTGTCTTCTATTTATGTTCAATCAGACTAATATATATGTCCACTCTGCCTAAGATTAAATCCCTTCTGCCAAATTAAAAGCTCAAATGTCTGCTATGAGATGAAAAATCCTGTATATACTTTATAATATGCATATAATATTTACTATTATCCTTATTTTACTTCTTTTTTTTCTCCTGTTTTTACTCTCACTTATCAGTTACTACTATTAATGTTATTAAATAAAGAGCACGATCTCATATATGTATAGCTAAATATAAAAATCAAAATTTTTGAAAAACTTTCTATATTATAGGAAAAAGCTAATATGAAACTGATCTTGATGTACCAAACTTCAAATGCTTTGTTCTCGCCTTCTACTGGACGCTAAGCCACAAAATTAACACTACCTGATAGATCACGAGTCAATGTTCTTCTATATTAATTTGGGGCCCCAATGGTATATGTGATCACAGAAAACTGGTTTGGCTCTTATAATGTACGATAACTGATATTTCCCTGTTGATATTCAACTATATCATTACTTATGGTAGAAACTATGAACAATTCCAGCCCATAGATGGTTATTATATTTCCCTTGTCACCATAGCTGCCCTCCTCTTATTATCATTACAAACTATATTTCTGTTTTTCACACCGTATATGATCTCGCGCCATATAAAAGAAAAGGGCCGAGAAATAAAGAAGAGGCATCTAGAGTTTTTAGACAAAAAGATTGGACGAATTGATTTGTGAAGAGTGTGGATAGCCGCCCTATTTGATTTGTATTTCTTTTATTATATTATCAACTTCCCCTTTTATTTTACCTACTATCAACCCTAGTTTTCTTGAACCCATTTCCCTACATTGGAGAATAAACAATATCTATAAATTTTATAGTAAACTGTAAATTTATAATATTTTATTATTCTGTCAAGCGTTCTAGTAAAATTCTAATTTCATTGAATTTTATCTGAACTGGGCGTCGTCATTCTTCTTAGCCTGTTTTTTCTTAAATATAATAGTTGAAATTAATTCTAGTGGTTGAGAATTTTATAAGGTTTGAGAATTTGGTTTTTTATTTAATAAATAAAATAATATAATTATTTATGATTTATTTAAAATGATATTATTTATAGTTTTTTATTTTTTTGCTATATTATTGAAGACATAATACTAAGACTCACCTTCCATCTACCCTGATATTTACCCAAAACCTTGTTGTAACCCTTCTCTGTTGTATCATATTCTACCCTTTTGCCCTTACCTATTTCCTCTTTTACCTTTTCTTACATACACCTTTTCCGTCAGCTCGAAACACCACACGTGTCATGCTTTTTTAGAAGCTGATAATAAGATAAGACAACAATTTGTGTGCTGGATGATAATAATGTATATATGCATGGAGGAGGAGAAAGAAGTTTAAGAAGAAGAAAGAAAATACCATTATTTTGTATATCTCTCTATACTATTGTATTTAAGACTCTATATAGAAAGTTTGTAGAACATTTCATGTTATTGTGTAAATAGTAGTACAGTAACGTATAAAGCATATATAGATATAATATAATTTAAAAAATATTTTACTTTATTTTTATAATTATTTATAAGAATTAGATAAAGAAGGCATATATAATTAGCTTCAGGAGGCAATCTTATTTGACATTATAGTAGATAGTGAGATAAAGATTATTGATAAGTTGATCATGAAGTGAAAATGTATGATAGATAAATATATAGTCCGTAGTGAATAACCTACTACTAAGTTAAAGAGTAGCTCTAGCTAGTAGGTTAGTAAGATGAATAAACAATTACAATAAAATATTATATTAAATTATATATAGAAAAAAAATATAATTAGAAACTTAATATGAAAATTTTATAATTCTTATTTATGTTTTAGATACTTTAAGAAAATGTTTAAATATATATTATTATATAATACATAATTTATATTTATTTAGTTTTCAAAAAATTATTAAATATTTTTATCATTTTAAAAAATAAATTCCAAAAACATATTATTCATTATGAACAAAAATTTGTAAAATAAAAACATAAATGATTTTAATAATTGAAAGTAGCGGAATGGTAATGAGCAAATCCCTCCTAACATGAGGAGCTTGCCAACGAAATGTTCTTGATTTTGATATGAAGAGGTGATGGTCGTTGGGTATGTTCAAGCCATCACGATTAATATAAACTTCCTTTTTTTATATTAGAATTTATATTTAGTGTTTAGTATTTATTCATCTAATAACTATGCTTCCTAGGGGTCGCAATTGGATGGGTCAAAACATGGGTTGATAGGTCAAGACTGATTTCGATATGATGAAGGAAGTATCAATCAACCTGAACTTGAGTACTGGAAGTACAAAACTCCATATATATATACATAGCTCTCCAAGATGATGGCACATAAATTCCTAGCAGTGCTAGTAATATCTATGTTTTGTGTGATTTATCTTAAAGGTAAAGGGTTTTATGCCATCACAAAAGAATTGGCTTGGGCTCATATGTATTAAAGAAAGCATAATGGTTATAGTATAGTTGAAAATCAACTTCCCTATATGCTCCTAGTCCTTTTCTCTTTCCCTTTTCTTTTCACTTCTTCCTTCTTCCTTCGTTTTTTTTTTCTCAATTCCTTTTCAGTCTTCTGTCAAATCTCATCTCTTACTGCTAGGGGTCACAATCTGACCCGCGGGTCAACGGGTCGGGTTGATGCTTTTCTGACCCACAGGTCGACCCATCCAACCCTTGACCCGACCTGTTGACCTGTCGTGACCCGTGTATACACATAATATATATGAAGTACTTATATTTAAGTAGTAAATCTTCTTGTTGGGAAACATCATTAGTTGTCAATATGTCTGCTATAGAGCTATAGCATAAAACATACTTAATTCTTTTTATTGTGGGATTATACTTTATATTCAACAGTATGGGATAAGTAAGCTATAAGCAATATATATGATAGGAGTAAAGAAGTAGCAATGGAGGCTAGGTTACATCTAATGAATCTGCTGCAAATCTATTGGTTCCAATAGCATCTAGTCCTCAATGGTTTTATAAACTTGTTCAAATTCATATATTGAATTATAAAAATTTTGATTTTGTCTAGATAAATATAAAAATAAATTGAAAATTGAAAATTAATATTTAAAAAAACAAAAAGTATTCTAGATTTAATAGAATTATTTATTATTTTTTAAGATAAAAAGAAAATGGTCTGCTTAAACAAATATCTTCCATTTGATAAGTTAAATTTAAAAAATAATATTATAATAGAATTAAATGAAATAATAAAAATAGAATTAGATAATAAAATAGATATAATAATTATTACATATATTAATAAAACAATTAAAAATAAAATTGGAGAATTATTTGATTCTAATCATTTTATATATAAAAATATAGAAAATAACTTTTGCACTTATAAATATAGTAAAGGTAAAAATGAAGGGATGATTTGTTGTAAAAAGATAACAGCAAAAGGAAATAAAGATAAATTTGTATGCACTAAACATAACCCTGATCATATTCCTGAAAGAAGAAAAAGGAAAAAAATAAATATTAAAGGTTTATTTGAACCTAAGGTTCAACAAAATATAAATATTTGGCTAGATAAACCTTTTGATAAAATTAATAAACTAAAGAATAATAAGAAAAAAATAATTAAAAAATTAAAGAAAAATAAAAAAATTAAACATATATATTTTGGAAATATTAGGCAACTTGATTTAAAAAACATTATGGATAAACTATTAATAAAATAGTTTTATTTTGTTATAGTAGTCTATTTTTAATAAAAAAATCAATATATATAGAGTATCTTATTTTTTTTATTGTTAATCATTTTATATCATATAGGCCTTTTAAAATTAATTTTTTTTAATTGATAAACATTTTATCTCATGATAATTATTTAATGCAATAACTTTCTTCTAGGTTATAAATTAGCAAGTAGTTTATAAAATTATATGATATAACAATATATGGTCTAGTGTCTAATAGTGCAATAAGAATATACAATAGAGGGTGGCAGTAAGAGACGCGATTTAACAAAAGACAGAAAAGGAATTGAGAAAAGAAAATCGAAAGAAGAAGAAAGAAGAGAAAAGAAAAGGGAAAAGGGAAAAGGATAAGGGGCATATAGGGAAGTCGCTTTCAACTACACTTTAAAAATATTATGCTTTCTTTGAAGCATGTGAGCCTAAGCGATTTCTTTTGTGATGGCACAGAACCCTTTACCTTTAAGAATAATCACTCAAAACGTAGATGTTGCTAGTACTGCTAGGAATTTGCGTGCCATCATCTTAGAGAGCTATATATATATAGAGTTTTGCACTTCCAGCGCTCAAGTTCAGGCTGATTGACACTTCCTTCATCACTACATTGAAATCAGTCTTGACCTGTCAACCCGAGTTTTGACCCGTCGGGTTGAATGGGTCGGGTCGGGTCGGGTCAGTGTTTTCTTGACCCACGGGTCAACGGGTCAGACCCTTGACCCGACCCGACCTGTCCAATTGCGACCCCTACTTACTGCTACCCTCTATTGTCCGTTCTCACTATACTATTGCTACTTCTTTACTCCTTTTACATATATTGCTTATAGCTTACTTATCCTTTACTCTTGAATATAGAATATAATCCCACAACAAAAAAAAGAATATAAGTACACTTAAGTTACAGTTCTATAGCAGACATATTGACAACTACATCCTATAATATAATGATGCTTTCCAATAAGAAGATTGACTACTTGAACACAAGTACCTCATACATATTATATGTATACACGGGTCACAACGGGTCAACGGGTCGGGTCAAGGGTTAGACGGGTTGACCTGTGGGTCAGAAAAGCATCAACCCATCAGATTGCGACCCCTAGTCAACCACATGGTTGAATAAGGAGTAATAGGCATAGATATTCTAGATAGAAGTATGATGTAGATCAATACTTAGACGATAGCTAGCCCCCTATTGCTCAACATATACATAAAGACAGGATCCTGAATTATATGGATCCCTATTGTTTAATCCTTTGATATATCTGAGTCTCACCTTATTTTTTGATTCACACTGTCTACCCATTCACGTTCCCAATTGTAAGTATCTGGGCCGACACTGTTACAGTCAAGCTCAAAGATAAGGACAAAAAGTAAATTACTAGAGAATTACCATTCTTCTTGCATATTTCATTCAATAGTAAGAAAAAAGAGCCAATAGTTTGCATATTTTATATTGGCTATTGACTTGCTGATACTGTAGCTTAGCTCTCGCTGTTACTGTTGGTCTTATATGAGACATAGAAACTAAGGCCATTTGAATCTAGATGGCAGCTAATATGAAACAATGAACCATATTATCCATATTGCGCTTTACCAGCGCGCGGCTGATGTTTGACATTTTAAAAAAAGACGGTGCGTTTCTGATATATTTAGTTTCTCTCTCTTTTTCTCCACCTTCCTCTTTTATAATCCCATTACAATGTCAGATTTCACTCCTGCTCTACTAACCGAAATTATTGAACTCATCTTCTCCTATCTAGATCAGAAAGTTCTGTGTGGAATGTCCAAGAGCTTGTCTCCCCTGACTCAACACCATTCCTGAACACGCGACGACTTTATGGCAGCAACTAGAGATCTCTGGCACATAATGGGGACTACACAACGTTGCATTGGTACAATGTCTTGGTGCTTACGTTTAAGCCATACCTATCAATAACAAAAGACACGAAATGCGCTGAAACACCTCAAAACGTACAACTGTAGTAGAATCCGCACGCTCAGTAAAAAACAAACTGTGTATTATTATACGCATCTATACTGCTCTAGTATGGCGTCGGGAAGACACAATCGTCACTGATACTATAGGAATACTCTTATATTATATCCTTGATAAGTAGCTATCAACAATAACTTAGACAATGAACACAGACAGCGGCCATATGTATTTGCAATGATCAGTTACTTCCAATCGCGCTTAAATCGTTTGCAAACATATTGAACGAGCTTGCGCTTACCTCTCTTTCTCTCTCTCTGCCGACATTTCGCTGACAATGCTACTGAATACGCTTCTTACTTCAATACGGCTTTCAGCTACATTTAGCGCTGCACAATTTTCAGCTATCACACTTGAACAAGTCGATATCAAAAACAGACATACGGTCCTACTAAAACATTGCAACCTGGCATGTTTACTGCTCGACAATGTGTTCAACTATAGATATCGAATTCGATCTTTACTGCAGCGCTGTTCGCGCCTCAGATATTTGCTGTTTACACACAACCAAAACAGGAATAGCATACAATATGCATGAAGCGCTCCATATCTGTCCCGTTGATCAGTATATCATGTGGAGTAACTATGATGGTGAATATATAATAGAGAAGGAACGGTTACAACTGTCGTGGAGTACGACTAGACATGATGATGGTGACAACTACAGCAACAACAACGTAACAGGTACGATCCGCAAGCAAGTACCTTCTGGTTATGGCTATCGGGAATACATACCGACATCAACAATACGCTTACGCCTTTCTCATGTTGTTCCCATGGATATGCAGATGAGCAACCTCTTCATGCGTATATGTTTTACACAGCTGAGAACGTTGGAGCTTATCTGGTATACATAGATTATGGATGATTTATGGGAAGAATTTTCCGTACGCAGCATCAAATTGAGCATCTCAGCATCAAAGTACAAATGAAACAACAACACGCATGAGCCTTATCACTCATGCTCTCAGCTCACTATCCTGCCTCAAGCAGCTCAAATTGATCCACGGTACTCTCAATCCCAGAAGCCATATACTCTTGGACTTGGCATCACTTACACACCTACAACATCTTGATCAAGTGGAGCTCTTGTACGTTTCCGTTTCAAGCGAGGTTTACTCCACTTGGCCGAAATAACCCGACTGCGTGAAATGAAGCTTGGCAAGGTATTCACTTATCGACACGGCATTCTTAAGGATCGATATATACGCTACACACAGAAACTTGTAGGGACAGGCAAGATCAGCACTCTAGGCTCAGTGCTGTGGTTGGCGTCACTGATCTTATGCTTGGGCACCTGTCCCAGATTGAAAGTTTGTCACAGTTACATGTCTCATACAACGAAAGAATCACTGACATGGGTATCGATGCGTTCCGTAGCAGTACTGCTGGAGTTCGCAAACAGCTCAAAGTGTCACGTTTTTAAGGAGCTACTCTACTCCAGTCTACTAAGAGCAATGAACACGATGCAAGAAGTAATTGCTAGCATATAGCATATCATTTATCTCTTCTCTCTATTACACAATAACATCTTTGCATTGTCATGATAATGAAACTACAACAATCAATGGGTCAGTCTCTTTCACAACAACGTAATTAAACAACTATACTAGCTCACTTTATTAGATTACTTACTACCGCGTGCTACACAATGATGGTACCGTGGGAGTACGCGATACTTTGTTTTCCTTAAGTGCTTATGTATATTGCTTATTTTACCAAGTGGTCCTGCTCTAAATTGAGCCATATGGTGCCTTCAATTACCATAAAGTAAGAATTAATGATTATATATTCCTGTTAATCGTTTTTCAAAAAAATAAAGCGAGAAGGAAAGATAAAACGTTAGAATTGCCGGGAAGACAAAAAAAGTGGAAAGGCGGTGAGGGTGTGTTTTATTGTGCAACTAATCTATGGAAGTTGATAATGTGGGAAAGAAGAAGGAGAAATAAAAGAAAGTATGTATGGATAATATACAGGTAGTAAAGAAAAGGAAGAAAAATAGTATTTAAATGAAATTGAGTTCATAAATAAGCTCATTGCCAGTAACAGGATCATCCATGACACAGTGGATACTGTTGTGTGCATCTGGCTTCAGACATCTGATATTATTACCGGTAATGATTTGTGCCACATTGCCCTGCAGGAATAATAAGTTATTTGTTCTGATTCACTCCATAACCGCATAGCCATCCTCACTTACAGTATCAATATGTCTCACTTCGACAAAAGTTGGATCAAAGGCAATGATATAAGGGAAGCGGAATGCAAATGAGACAGGGTTGCCTTCCCAGCAGATCATCCAGTCTTCTCGAACGCGCCTGCCCTTCTTGTCAATGTAGAAAGCAATTTCTAGTAGTAAACAGATAATACAAGGTATTCGTTAGTACTGCAAGTGGAAATTTGGACCTAGTGTAACAATTACCGTTGTAACATAGTAAAATGTTGCCATCATGACGAAACATGGTGATTGGTTTCAAATTTTCACGCTGAAGTATCGATTGGTGACGAGTGTCGCTAGGATCCAAAACACCTAATAGCAACGAAGATAAAAGCCAATGCATAAGATTTTTTTAAAACAGAAATATTGAGTTAGTCGATAAATGCTATACATACTCTGGACCTCGGTGGATGCAAGATCAACCATCTGAAAGCCTTTGGGACAGCCCACGCAAATGATATTTCGGAAAAATTGGATAGACGATGCTACGCCGGGTATATAGCTTCAAGCAATTATAAAGGTGGATTAGCTTTTTTCGTGCTCGTAACTACTGAGTGGGATTGTAAAAAACGTCGATAAACTTACAGATCTTTATAGACTTTAAGTGAATCCTGTGGACCGCGTATCAATCTGCCGAGATGATGCTGCTGTGGTTCCAGAGCGCGGATCGTCGACGTCATGGCATTCTGACGTACAAAGCATACCAAAGTTTTCTCAGCAGCAGATGACCGTTGAATCTTTCCAATTTTGAAGAACGATACATGACTGTTGATCTTGCGACCCGCATTGCCGCGTCGATTACTGCTGCTGCTTCGTCCGCTGCCAGCAAGTTCAGGATCCAGAAGAAGGGTATCCAATGGATAAGCATAAAGCACTTTATCCGCAAGCACCAGCAAGAGCCGATTTGCTCCATTTTCGAGCACATCAATTTGAGATACTTTCTCCATTGCCAAGATCCGAACAAAGCTGTTCTTTCTCTTGACATAAACGCCTTGATCACTGCCGAATACCAACGATTTCCCGCCATCTATATTATGTCTTTTAGCGATAGACACTTTACTTGTCACCTTACTAGGTCAGCTTAATAGACATACTCAAACAGATTACTTACCATATCCTGCGGCACAGCGAACCTTGTTAAACGCAGTAAAGAAGTCGCCATTGATAGGAACTAACTCAATAATCTTGTTCTTTTCCATAAACGCCTGCTGCTGGCTCTGGATCTTAACAATCCACTGCCTGCGGATCGCCATCGTTGCGGCAAAGAGAGTAATTGGAGCCGTTCCGTGTTTGCCAAGGTGTGAGAAACATAATGGATAACCAGATTTGCTACCACTATTGGTGTTGGTGCTAGCTGAAGGAGATGGCGGAGGAGGCGTTGCGGCTGTAATGCTATCCATACTGCCGACAGACGTAAACGAATCTTTGCTTGTGCGACTGTATGATGGTAATATTGAGCTAGAGCGCTTCGTTAGATCCGGGAATGACACAGAAAGTAAAGCAAGAGGAATTGGCTAGATGCACAGAGTGAAAAAGATGGAAAAAAGAGTAGTAGTGTCAATTTTACGGTAGTATTCTTTTGTGCTCACATATATATATATATATATATACCTTGCGATACAGTTTATAGTACTCGGTGTTATTGGCAAACTTCTGCTTGGTGATCACGAGATAGTGATCCAATAAAAAGAGAAGCATATCTGATGACTCTGAGCCAGATCCCTTCTTTTTCAATGCGCCCTTAAGAACCAATTGTCGATCCTCAGCCCTTAGTCCCAGGTCCTAGCAGCAAACAAATAGAAAAGAAGCATGTATGTTTACATAAGAGTCACAAGGCACGTATATTGATAAACGCAAAGATGAAGTAATCAAATAGCATACTTACCACCATATCAGCCTGTCGATGATTTACCAAACGTTGCTCCAACAAATATATATTATGCCGGCTTTCAGTCTTGCCCGTCTCACGGTTGACAGCTGTTAGAAAATTACTGATGATCTTCATTGCCTTGGATAGATTTTCTTGATCTGGATGATCTTCGGGTGTATGTCGTAAAATTTCACGCAAAAGTAAATTATATCTTCCTAACCGCGTTGTTGGTTTGGTAAGATACCCGTTCAACTCCAATTTACGTGATTGCTTCAATCGCTCGGTTTTCTACACGTATAATGGCAGTGCTACTATCAGTATAAAGTGCTTTCTCTTTGTTCTTGAATCACATCATCGGATATTTCATGAGGTTTTCTACCTGAACGAATTTGGCGAATTCAGAATTTGTGGACTTTTCTGTTTCAAAAATATGCTTGCCAATAACTTGATGGGCACCATATCGAACAAATGGTTCAAACTTTGCAGTGTATGTAACCATCACTTCACCTATTTGCTGTACGTCTGGACGTATCATCTGTCGTTTCAACAGAGCCTGTAGCAGTTCGGAATTGACCCTGTAGACTTCCATCACGTTCCAAAACACTTGCTCGACGAACTCTTGACGGTCGCTTAGATCATCAGAGATGATAGGCTCGTCTAATAAGGGATCAATCCAATACTGATCATATCCCTCAAGGGTGAGTCTAATTTTGACAGCTAATGGATTGGGATTTGCCTAGCCAATAGATCATGTGGAAGAATATACCTTTTTAAGATAAAGCAGATCATTGACAAAATCTCTTTCAGTATAAATGAGTTCATATATGTTCTCTTGGCGGCGTATTTCTTGTTTGCTCATCGTTTCAACCAACGGTTTGGGAACCGTGTAAACCCAAAGACGTTCCTCCTTAATTTTTTATAAAAAAGGGTAACCATGGTATAAAATTAGCATGCATAGATTTTTATAAAAAAAAAAGAGAACAAAAAAAAGAACCAGTCTCCCCCTCTCCTCACCGCCCCTATCACGAAAGGGAAAGCAGAGAATATGCTATTATTACTATTGAATACCTCTTCCGCAAACAATAAAGAAGTATTACTGCTTGATCGGCCATGTTGTGGTCGTCTAGTGGAACGAGCTTGCTCTAAGCGTCTAGGGCATGATACGCTGTAGCAAAGTTTATCACGCGTACATGTGGACGAATAACAATCGGTCAAAACCGTGAAAACGGCATTAGGCGTGCCTACATCACAGCTATTGTTATTTGGAGCATCGTTTGCAAAGTTGACACTCGAAAGGTCTTCTGTGAAGTCGTCGTCATGCAAAGTGGTTGCCGGGCTACAGGGTGGCATGTCGTCGCCGACGGCGGTGGTGGTCGATGGGGTCGAATTGAACTGATATAACTCGTGACTTGAGTCGCGTAACCGATGTTCATAGCTCACATCATGGAAGAACTTTTGGGCATCTAGCGAGCGACCCAATAATAGTGCCAAGTTGCGATCTGTGGTCTTGATTATGTATGCAAGTTTATCCTAAAAATAAAACAGATTGGTTTTTTAAGCAACAGGAGCCCAAAAAGAAACGGCCCGAACGCTTTTCCGACGACCGACGACTATGACGGATGACGACGTAGGACAAAGGGAAAAATCGACAACAGGAAGAGCAACACAAAAGGAGTAATAATAATAGTAATCATAGCACATCATCGTAAGATATTAAATTTAGTAGCAAATTAGAGTTATACATACCACCGCCTCACGCCCATCAAATGCATTCGAGTATTCAATGTTATCCTTGGTCTTGGTGCTGACAATGACACGTTCGCGAAATGCTTCGGATACTTTGGATAAAAGTGCTGGGTATACGATCGGTTTCCGGTCCTTAATACTCATGGCTGCTGCACCTGCTGCTGCCGCTTCGGATTGGAAGTGATACTGATGAAGATGGTATTGTTGTTGCTGTTGGGTCGGTGACGATGACGATGACGAGGACGATTGCTGTTGCTGCTGGTGCTGGTGCGATGCTTGCGAGCCTTTTTGTTGTGCAACGTGCTGCTGCTGGTTATTGCCAAATGAAAACGACAAGGAGCGTTCACCA